TTAAAATATTATACACATAACGTTACATATATTATTGGCCTAAAATTCTTGTGAATAAAGAAACTCATATTGAACCATTCACGTGTAGCTAAGGCCATGTTGAATTAATTATATGGATGACATCCGCGCGCGCATGAATTTTCACGGTGGAATTTTCGTCGTTTCCAAAAAAAGGTTTTCAACCATGCTGTAAATCGTACAAAACAGTTGCAAAACAATATTTTAAAACGATACCAAGCAATGTCGTAGAATGCCAAAATCAAAACAAAAAAGACGAGAAGCTCTGAGGAAGGTGTCTGACAGACATCGAAACGTAAGCAGGTGAGAAACTATGGTTGTGTAAGAAGAAAATTCTATATCATGGCCCAAAAAAGACGAAATAACTGAATTTGAAGAGTAGATCATTCGTCAAACCATAGTCTGTTAGTTGTTCAACCTTCATGACCACGTAGATTTCATAATTAGAGTAATTTTTTTTGCAAAACTTTTATTCGCACGCGCACATCAGTTTTGGGGTTCCCAGAGGATGTCATCCATATAATCAAATCAACAAGGCCTAATGGCATCATTTAATGCTCTGTAGTCGAAACTTACTGTAAGCCTTCGCCCTCTTCTGGAACCTTTCGGCCGCCTTGGCTTTCCCCATAGACACCATCTTGTTGTAGATTGCTTTGGCGGCTGCAACTTCTGAAATTCACAAGGTACACAGGAATTACGGTGTGCACTTCACTAGACTTACGCCAGGGGGCAATGCTTCAAACAAAATACTACATCTCAACACTCCGTAAATAGGACTCAAGGCATGACTTTTATAATGTCAAAAACCCTTGTCCACATATATATATATATATATAAAGTTACACATACAGTACCTATATATGTACGATTTTTTAGTATTTCTCGTGCAACGTATCACACCGCAGCGAAATGCAACAAATGCGGGAAGTCACTACGCCACCGTAGGGGAAGAAAAGTCGTGGGTCTGACCTGATTAAGACATCAAATTATTTGAAAATATTATGTTAAAAAATGCCTACGAGACAAGGATAAATAGTAAATGTCCGAACCTCTAGATCCAACACATAAGTTCTCAACTAGAGGTTTCGACCTGTCACTGGTCTTCTAAGTAGATCTAAAGTTTTAACTCTAAACATATAACTGCCAAAACAGACGGATTTTCATGTCCGAACTTCTTTTGTACATTGAAAGGTATGAAGGCTAGCAAGTGACGACGAATCTGTTGAAAAAGTCGGCATATTCGTCAACCAAGAAATTAAATTGGTGTGGCCTTACCGTCATGTATATATATATATATATAAGGCCACACCAATTTAATTCTTGGTTAACGGATTCGCCCGCTTCTATTTTTCCTGATTTGCAAAACAAAATTTGCCCTAAACAGTTGAAAACAGCCCTTTTCTTCCTAGTTGTTACAGTTGTTCCATCTTTCAATGCAATGGTATTCATTAAAAGTTCAAAATTCATTGTTTAAATTTTGAACCAGCCTGGTGTGTTGACTTCATGGCTGCTATCGTACCATTTTTGGCCATAATAGGATGCCTACGCCTATTTTTTTTTCGCCCGCCCGCTCCATTAGAAAAATCCGTTAACCAAGAAATTAAATTGGTGTGGCCTAAGTGACGGCATATACATGATGGTTTTTTACGTGCAAAGTTTTTAGACTGAAAACTCGTGCTTACTGTCGTCAGCGTTCCTCATATACTTCTTGATGTCGCTCCTGTTCGTGATATCGTCCAGGTCATCAGCTGCAAGGATCAAGAAAAGCAAAAACGAACACATAAAAAATTGCCATACAAGATACAGTCGCGGTAAAAAAAAGCACATTGTACATACACGTGCAGTCAAAGTCGAGCACCTGTGTGATTCATATGCAAACTAGCTACTGATTACATTTGAATACCACAGGTGCTCGACTTTAACTGCACGTGTCATCGGCAATAGCTCAAGTCCGAACATGTATGCGTGCAAGGTAAGTCCGTAGTTTTTAACGTAAATCAACGTCCATCACAATTAGCAGTTCAACCAATCAGAACATGGCAATTAGTGGTTCGACCAATGAGAGATGGCTGCATGTCACGTCAAATATTTGCATTGTTATGTTTCTATGAATAGCTATTAATAGGTGGACGAGGCTTTAAAATCTGTCTTTCAAGAAAATATATCAGCCTCACAGTTACGAATGCGTCGGTCAGGCACGAAAATGAAGACGTCAACTCTAGAATTTAGGCTAACCATGCTCTAGTATAGCAGAGGAATACGTGAAGCAGGAAACGTACAATTTTAACGTTGACAAAACGGACACTGGACGAAATAGGTTCGGATACAATAATATTCCGCCCCGTATTTTGCCGTATTCTTTACAAATACGGGCATATGCGAGCGATGTCCAGATTCCGTCGCTTCCGCTCGCATATGATCGTGTTCGTATAAAAGAATACGGCAAGATACGGGGCAGGATATGAGTATCTGAACCTATTTCGTCCAGTGGAACGTTAAAAGTCAGGTTTTTTTTATCGTGCAGTACTGTATCGCGAAGCATACCAGTTTGACACTTGAAATCTCTGCGTTATTTCACAAAAAAAAAACATGCTAAGCTTACATGAGGTCATTTCACAATATTGTCAGAGAAAAACGACTGAAAATGTTCCTACCTGTGACGAAGTCGGCAAGCATGGCACAGCAGACCATCACGAGAAGCAGGGCAGACAAAGTAGACGTCTTCATTTTCGTGCCGATGAGACGATCTGGCCGACGTATTCGTAACTGTGAGGCTGCTTTTCTGTCCGATGTGATAGTCAGCTGTGATGGGCGTTCGGTTTATATAGCGTCTTCTCGTCGTCTCATTGGCTGCTCGGAGGAATTCTCTGCACTCCCATTGGTCAGAAAAAATGCACTTTCTGACCAATCAGGTACGGCAACGACTGATTTGATTTGACATGAGCGGATTTGATTGGAGCAGAAATTAGGTCAATATAAGTTATGTCACAAGCTTGAATTCCTTGCGTGTCAGTTTTTATAACAGTACACGAGTATTAAACACACACACACACACGCACGCACGCGCGCACACACATACACATACACATGCACACACACACACACACACACACACACACACACACACACACACACACACACACAGACGACGACGACGACGACACGA